AATCTTATTTTTATTTCTCGATATCTCCATATGAATCTGAATATTAAATATAGTCTCCGATGTATACACTTAACCATGTACTCATAAATTTATGGTTGCTTGAAGAAAAACTAGGAAAATTGTGTTGTTTAACTGAGAATATATATAGATCAGGCAGCTGGAACGAAACCAAAGACGGGAGATTTTTATCAGTATGTAAACTTTAATCTTAAAGGAGAATAGTATGTATTTTGTGCTTAACAAGCATGAAAGTAAGCTAATATAATGCAAGAGATAAATATAAGAACAGATTTCACTTATACACATCTATTGGAAACAGGGACATCATTTCGCAAAAAATCTTGTAAAGCCCATCACTGATAAACTAAACGACTCATCGACAGTATGTTACGCATTTCAGTACGTGGTACAGAATTTACTACGAACCAATTACACCTTTTTCTCTCAAAAGAAATTAAAACCTCAAATTATTTGTTATTAAAGGCCAAAAGTTCTTTTCGATTCAGTATTGCCTTAAGATTTATCAGCGATTGATAGGTTGTTCAACTGTGAATCTATATATTACACACCATTGATTCTATGAACCATGAATGAAGAAGCGCACCTTTTTACGACTGACTTTACCCATCATATGAAAACAAACATTTCAAGTGGGATAAACTTAATTTATCACTTAATACATTAATTTTAAATGTGAAGAGATAAACTAAATTATACAAGTCAAAGTCCTGGTCAGGAAAAGAAAATAGCCAAGTGTTACTATACAATCCTTTCAATTTATGAGGAAACGAACATAAACTGCGAAAATTATGAAGTAGAACTCAGTTACGACTAGTTAAACAGATTGAAGCTTTTCTTACCGTTAGTTTCATCGTTTACTTTATTTTCCTTCAAATCTTTTCCAGACTGTTCATCTTCTAGTTCTTCATCCTCTTCTTTTATGGGTTCACGAACAACATTAGTAGTTGTGGTGTGAGGAAACGAATGTCTATGGTCATCTGATACACCATGTGGACTATCACTTTCATTAGGATAAGTAGACTTTGAAGGAGCTGGTGAGTTTGTACTTGACTGAATTAATGAACAAATATGTTAAAAGTTAGCTGCAAAACTATATTTTTGAGGAAGTAATGAAGTGCAGTGTAAATATAGGTGAACATGTACAGCGTTGTTGACTATTTACTAAAATGAATCCTAAATTCATATTTTCATTCAAAGATCTGTGTTATAAAGCGTTGGATTAGATAATATTCCCATTTTCTACCTATAACTGATAAGAACTACACAACTATTTCTAGAATTATTTAAACAAAACTGATTGTAACCTTACTCAACACTCCTCAGTCTTTTCGATTAGAAGCTTTTCTCTAGGTAAATTAACAGAGAGCGATGCAATCAAAGAAATACTTTGGGTTTTAATCCGTTTCCGATTAACCGAATTAATTATTTACAGTAGTTCAGTAATAACATGAAATATGTTGGTAAAATTCGTGGCAAAGCTACATTATCTAGGTAGACTTAATCGTTACTTAAGCGCTTTATATATATATGAATTTTATCATATGGACGTAACTATTCGTTATTATAAGACATCATTCACAATAAATCAAAATATTTATTGCACAAGATTTGACCATTGGCTGTTTGATGAGGCAATGGAGTACAAATATTTTCATAATTTAATATATTCAAAGTTTAGTGTGAGTTGAGGTTGATGTCATGCAAATCTAGAGAACAATCCTCGTAAAAAGTGATACATTCCTCATGCTGATAAAACAACATACTTTAACACTGGTATGCTACAAAAGCTGAATATTTTCCGAAAGTCTGTTACATATTTTATGTGATCGATTTAAGTATTGAAAGGGTTCTTATTTCACATTACTCTCTAGAGGGTCCAAACCATTAGCCGCTGAATTTTTAATTCCTTAAGAAATGATACATGTAGTTTCTGCAAACTGGTAGAAAGTGACAGATAAATTACTGCAAAAATTTACTTACTTATATATTATTTAATTATTTGCTTTTAATATCCATTATTTAATGACAAGTCTATTGTTTTGATTGCATTTATCGTTAACCTAACATTTACTTGATTCCCTGTTGTCTAAGATCAGTAAAATACAAAGTTATTCAAATATATTCAGCTACGCATGATTTGAATATGATCTCTAAAAGTCAAAAAGTATCTCAACAACTTGAATGTATATCATTTATAGTCAGCATTCTTGACAAACAAGACGAATTACAGCTTCACATGTTAATTGGCATAATTCAAATGTCCTGTACGTAAACTCAATTTAGATTGCAGCCCTATTTTAAAGTAATTCTAATTTATGTTTCTTATCTACCTTTCCTTCAAATACTCACCATTTAACACTAATTATAATACAATATTCAATTACTAGATTAAAGTCTCTAAAAGAAAGAGATTAGCTGTTAAACAGTGAATATGTATTACTTACTTAATTACGCCTGTTACTCTTAATGGAGCATAGGGCGCCGACCAGCATTCTCCAATCCACTCTATCCTGAAACTTCCTTTCTAATTCCATCCAATTCTTGTTCATTTTTCTCATGTCTATCTCTATTTCTCGGCATAATGTGTTCTTTAGTCTTCCCCTCCTCTTTTGGCCTTAATGATTCCATGTGACGGCTTGTTTTGTGACGCAGTTAAGTGCTTTCCTCAATGTGTGTCCTATCCACTTCCAGCGCTTCTTCCTGGTTTCTTCCTCCGCTGAGATCTGATTTCTTCTCTCCCACAGTAGGTTGTTGCTGATAATGTCTGGCCAACGGATTCGAAGTATTTTGCGTAGACATCGGTTAATAAACACTTGTATCTTCGGAATGATGGCTTTCGTAGTTCTTCAGGTTTCCGACCCATACAGTAGAACTGTCTTGACATTTGTATTGAAAATTCTGACCTTGGTGTTGGTTGACAGTTGCTTTGAGTTCCAGATGTTCTTCAGTTGTAAATATGCTGCTCTTGCTTTACCGATCCGTGCCCTCACATTTGCATCACACGCACCATGTTCATCAATGATACTGCCCAAATATGTAAAGGTTTTTACATCTTCCAAATCTTCTCCGTCAATTGTGACTGGATTGGTGCATGCTGTGTTGTATCGGAGAATCTTGCTTTACCCTTCGTGTATATTGAGACGTACTGCTGCTGAGGCTGCTGCCACATTGGTAGTCTTTTCCTGCATTTGTTGTTGCGTTTGCGATAGGAGGGCCAGATCATCTGCGAAGCCTAGATCGTCCAACTGCATCCTAGATCTCCACTATGTCCCGTGTTTCCCTTCAGATGTTGATGTCTTCATGATCCAGTTGATCACCAGGAGAGTGAGAGTAGGCAACCTTGCATGACACCGGTCTTCACTTCAAACGACTTTGTCAACTGTCCACCATGCACAATTTTGCATTTTAATCCATCATAGGAATTCCGTATGATATTGACTATCTTCTGAGACACGCCGTAGTATCGAAAAAGCTTCCATAGTGTTGTTCTGTCCACGCTATCAAATGCTTTTTCGTAGTCAATGAAGTTGATGTAGAATGATGAATTCCATTCAATTGATTGTTCCACAATGACCCATAGAGTTGCGATTTGGTCTGTACACGATCGATCCTTACGGAATCCAGCCTGTTGGTCTCGTTTTTTCCTGCGGCAATTCGGATGACTCTCCCAGTCTCCCACATTGTACGAGCATTCTACTTACTTAAATTAATGGTTGCTCTGGTATTCAGACTTCCATGGGAACTCAGCTTTCACCATGAGGCGTTGTAACTTTTCTAAATGGAAGACTTAACTAACAGGGCATAGTTTAGATGGCTTGAAGTATTATTTCTGGTAAGCGTCTTTAGCGAGTTAGCTTTTTATGGGATGGGGTCGCTAATTCCGTACCCAACCCTCCTTTATCCGGACTTTTGAATTTTCCTGGGCTCAGAACCGTCCATCACAAAGTCATTCCAGGAACATCCTCGCCGACACGCGTTAATAACGAATGCCGCCTAATATACATCACTAATGGAATGGTAGAGTTCGCTATCTATTCGACAATGATATCAAAGTTGGAGGTATTCCAGCAAATCTTCAGCTTGGAGGCGGCAAATGGAAAACCGATCATCAAATACGGTAAAACATCTGAAGGGAAACACGGGACATAGTGGAGATCTAGGATGCAGTTGGACGATCTAGGCTTCGCAGATGATCTGGCCCTCCTATCGCAAACGCAACAACAAATGCAGGAAAAGACTACCAATGTGGCAGCAGCCTCAGCAGCAGTACGTCTCAATATACACGAAGGGTAAAGCAAGATTCTCCGATACAACACAGCATGCACCAATCCAGTCACAATTGACGGAGAAGATTTGGAAGATGTAAAAACCTTTACATATTTGGGCAGTATCATTGATGAACATGGTGCGTGTGATGCAAATGTGAGGGCACGGATCGGTAAAGCAAGAGCAGCATATTTACAACTGAAGAACATCTGGAACTCAAAGCAACTGTCAACCAACACCAAGGTCAGAATTTTCAATACAAATGTCAAGACAGTTCTACTGTATGGGTCGGAAACCTGAAGAACTACGAAAGCCATCATTCCGAAGATACAAGTGTTTATTAACCGATGTCTACGCAAAATACTTCGAATCCGTTGGCCAGACATTATCAGCAACAACCTACTGTGGGAGAGAAGAAATCAGATCTCAGCGGAGGAAGAAACCAGGAAGAAGCGCTGGAAGTGGATAGGACACACATTGAGGAAAGCACTTAACTGCGTCACAAAACAAGCCGTCACATGGAATCATTAAGGCCAAAAGAGGAGGGGAAGACTAAAGAACACATTATGCCGAGAAATAGAGATAGACATGAGAAAAATGAACAAGAATTGGATGGAATTAGAAAGGAAGTTTCAGGATAGAGTGGATTGGAGAATGCTGGTCGGCGCCCTATGCTCCATTAAGAGTAACAGGCGTAAGTAATTAATACTACAAGGAGTTTAGAGTTCTGTTCCGTTTCGTAAATATACAAAAGTTCATAAGAAGCACTTAGGATAATTTTTAAAATCTGGGAGGGTATTACAGTAAATTTCATGGTTAGGTAAACGTTTACATCGATTATTCGGTTTACTTTCGATATAAAAAAAATGCAAAGTAATATGTGTGTGAATCGCACGTTCCTAATATTCTGAGCAGATAGACACTGTTATTGATCCAAACCAAAAAAATTCTTTATTTTGTAGTATGGCGCCTTTTTGGCGTAAAAGTGCTGAATCAAAATAATATGTTTAGATAGCTAAAAAATATTTTTGATTTAAAACAAATTAGCTACTAGCTTACCATCTGCATCTGTCGTGCTGTGGATAAAGCTGCCATAAGATCGCGTAGTTCTGGACCAACAGGAACACTGAAGATAAACATAATTCGTGTGATTTGTAAGCATCATAAATCCAAAGAATAAGTATTTCAGATGCAAAAGCTACGTACAAATCATAGCAAATTCAACCGAAAACTATAGCTAAACAATTTTGATTTTTTTAACAGGAATTTTTGAAAACAATATTTCCATCAAACCTCAGTGAAGATTACAAGTTTACAATGTACACTGAAAAAATTGTAGTTGAAAAAACAGTCGCTCTCAAAAACAATCTTGTTTCCTTATCAAAGTTCCTGTTTTTTAACAAATAGATATTTAAGTTTATCCATTTTCAAAATACTTCAGACTGGTAACCCGTATTACAGTACAAGCCACTTGCATTCGTCAGAATAAAATGTACTATTTTACTATTAGGACTTCAAATTCAGCTATCGGCTTAAGCTTTTGTGCATTAAATCATGCACTATAAAGGATCATTTATTATCAGAAATGTGAATAATCACAAGCTTTGTACAATATTCAGAGTTACGTTAAGTTTTTTCCATTAACCTCAAAAAGCCGAGGCATCGCTATAATAAAAAGATAATGTATTTAAACCGAGGTAATATAAGACAGTACAATAAATCATAAAATCCATTTCATAAGCAATAACCAATTATAATTTATGTTCATACAGATCAGTATAAAAATTTACTACAAGTTGAACAATACTGGTATTAAGTTTACATTTTGGAGAGTAAATAAATTATATATATTGTGACTTCTTGAATGTTATCTTTGGTTAGTATTAACACTTTAATGAAATAGAATTTTAAATGTCAAAACTTCTGATAACATACAAAATCAAATAATGATAGCCAATAAACAGTCAAAAGACTTTTTAAACAACAAGATGATATATTTCAGATTGTTTTCAGAGTATGTATTCTAAGACAAAGCTAATTAGTTTAAGAAGTATTGCAACAATTGTGCTGTTTCGTAAAAACAAAGTTTTAAAATTCAGTCAGAAAACAATGTGGATGGTTACTGAATTTTGCAGGAGAATAGTGTATAAAAATAAGTTTTTGTATAGAAATACAGTATGTCATATATAAAACAAGAGCACAGCCACTTTTAATTTGATCAGTCTAATAGGATGGTACTAAAGAATGAGTTAAAGTCAGCTATGATACCGGTAAAATACATATTGTGAATGGTGTCTAGACTATTGGACAATTAATAAATGTCACAATTTTGAGATCATATTTAACACTTGAAGTGAGTCTTCAACTTAAAGTTCATTATAGAAGAGAGAGTGAAAGGTAAGTTTTGTTTGGAATATTCTGACAGTTAATTGCTAAAAATGTAAATTAAACCATTTCTTGTCAATATCAATTAAATTTGAGAAACAATGAATCTCATTTCTAATGAATAAATCAAGCGTTGAATCAACCTATTCTTAAGTAGTTAGCCTCTCAATCAAGCAACGTGTATACTTGTTTGAAATTAGAAAATCAAACACTTAAATTTTCCAAAGCTTTAAAAAGATGAACATGTAAAGGAGATTAATTGTAGTCAAAGAATTATGAGCATAGTAAGGAAATCATAAGAGATACAATTATAAAAGTGGTATAATAATCGCTTTCTAAGAAATAACCTATCACCAACAACAAAAAATATTTCATCAAGTTGAAAGAATAAAAACAACATATTTTAACAGTTATTTAAATCGTAAAAGTTAAACATGGAGTTGAGTGAATATAAACCTCCAGAGAACTGAAAAAAAAATATACTTTTAAGGTTAAGGAACAATTGTTCAAGACACATATTTATATGCAAATGACACATTCTTAGTTTACGCTGAATAACAGTATCACACACACCTTTTGATTCAACGCACTGATAATAATCAGAGCAAAACCTAAGTTAGATAGAATGAAATCTTTTGAAAATAAAGCTCATACGACGTTGTAGGAAGTCAATAGTGCACGTTTCACGCAAATATATTTCTTTTTCAAATCTAAGACAATGGTAATCAAATGATAATAAATAAAATTATAAGAAGGGGTTTTATGGAGATTTTAGTAATTTTATAGTTGGATGCATGAGCCAATTGAAGTTAGACAAACATGGAAAACCTGGAAGCACTGAACGACCGTTTCGTCCCATCATGGGACTCCACAGCAGTGCGCACCCAAGAACTCGCCCAGCGAGATCCGAACCCAGGAAATGTCGGTCTCGTGAGCGAACGCTTAACCTCTAGACCACTGAGTCAGCACCCAACGGTGTTAATGTCTAACTTCAACCAATCCACGAAATTGAGCCACCGTCTACCATTGTCTTCAGTGAGTTACTACCTCATAACAGATCCGGTTGAACTCCACTGGTCACTGCTTCTGACAAGAACTCCAGGAAATACCTCTTGAAGCCAATCACTATAAATAAAATACTTGTAAACTTAAGGTTGAAAAAACTTCCCATTAAAAATTAGTATGGACGAAGATGATGCGTCAAGTTTGTTGCACATACAAGACGCTAGGATATTTTTCATTAAGATGGTGTAATGCACTACATATCACCACAGCCAAAACTTAATTGAATCGTCACTATTGCGAACAGTTTTACTTCATTAATGAACTAAGTGCAACTTAGCACAGCTTCTATCTGCAGTAATATGATCAAGAATCATTTTTATTTATTCATGTTCAATATTGATTCGAGTATTCCGTCTCTAAGCTGAAATCTGAAATTTGAATAAGTCAAGTTCATAAGGGGAGGGCTTATCTATTTACTCAATTGAACTTTCAAAAGGTGTATGTTTCAGCGAGTAAACATTTTCAGAACAAAATGTAAAATAAACCAGGAACTACAAGAATTAATTGTAAAGCGGTTATAAGCTGTTTATTTATTTTACAGATTCTTCTTTATTCCCTAAGATATTCCATTTGCAAGAGAGGAACAATAAAATGAACACTGATGGCATTGTAGTAATCATAATTTAACAGGGCGTTTTTATGTTGTTAACTAAGCCATAAATAATAATTCGACAAAATTCATAACAGGATTTATTAAACAATTGACAAGATCACAAAAAACGGTAAATTTCAAACTTACAGTCAAAATGCTTAAAAGCCAGATATTTAGTCACAAGTACCCTATGATTATGTAGACTCATTACTCACGTAATATCCCTAATACACAAAATGTAATCCACCACAATTCGTACATCTCAATAAGTGCACAGCTGAATCATTTTCGCCATAAAACGAATTACAGACCTATAGTTTATTTAACGTGAAATATTGTCTCGACAGTTAGTGAATGGAGCGATAGCTTACAATTGAGACCATAAAACTATCAAAAAATACAAATAAATTCATGGAATAGTAACTACAATTTTTACACAACGCATTAACCGTATAAATTTTAGCGAATACTGTTGTAAAGCCTGTTTGAATTTTAATCAAACGACAATATATAGCAACTATCCTACAACCAATTTCGACTATGATTAATTTTGGTTAAGCCCTTTTATTAACCTACTTAACAGGCTATGTTATTGGAACAGTGACGATTAGCATAATTTTTTGTATCGTTATGATCTATAGACCAGATCACATGACAGACTCGAGCCAAAATGTTGATTGCTTAAATATCACTCGATGACTCATCCTCCTCTCCATGTATGTATGAACTCGAATCCTATTATTAGCCTTTGCTTTGCCTTGCTGTGCCCTTATGCAATTTAACTATAAATTTGCCTATGTAATTGCTTGTATATACTTATTCGCCTCTCCGCTTCGAATTCGCTCGATTGTTCATAGCTTTGTGATCTGCGCCATCCACCAATAAACTGTAGTTGCCGCCTCTCATCGCCTTCTGATTTCAAACACCGTTGAAATTTATATAATAACGGTTACAAGGGTGATTGATTGACGAAGCAAAGTCACTGCAAACAATAATCTAAGAGATGGGTGTAAAAAATGGCTCAAGTATGTTTATTAATACCTAGACCTAATGAATAACGGATCTTAGGAGTGAAATAGCTATAGATTAGGAAATGAAAGTAATAAATATAATACTGATTAGTTTGATAATTTCAAGAGACATTTTCACCGTTTTTCTATAATGCATATTATAAACACCGTAGAGCTATCTGTTTCATGTAACCGTAAGGAATATGAGTTTTTTTATGAGTGTGTATTATGTTGCATCCGAGTAACGAAATGAAGTTGTTAATAAATAGAATATCCAATATCAATGGATGCTTGCTTACATTATAACACAATCCATAAAATATCATTAAGTTTTGATAGACTAACTAACCTAAAATTAAAAGCCAAAACCTCTTGATGTCATCTAGAACTTAGTGAAAGAACAGTTTTCAGTGACCATAGCACAGATGGCCAGTTTTTACAGCCGACATACTGCGAATTTCATAAGGCATTAAACATATGATGTTACATAGGGCTATTATTATTTCACCATCTCTAAAACTCCGTTACCCAGATAAAACACCATGGGTTGATTGAAGTCAGGCTTTTATACTATTGGGCTCCGGCCCATTAGTCAATAGGTTAAGAGTTTGCACATAAGACCAAAGCTCCGGGGTTCGATTTCCGGGTGTGGCGTCGTGCGTATGCACTAATTATTACTTCCACTCCTGGACTAAATGGAAGTCCAGTGTTTCCAAGTTTTAAGTGATTGTCTAACTTAGATGTACATGTGATTTTAGTGAACTTTAACAACCTTTACAAATTCATACTAAAAATCCTTTGTGTCTACAAGAAAATAGACCAACTAACTAATTGGAAGCAATAATGTGGTTCCGTTAAGTGATCTCTTTGAGGATATGCTTACAAGACTTTCCTTAAATCAACCTCTTCATCGAACTACAACTTTGTTTTTATGACTCAATGGATGTTTTTCGTTTGTTCGTTCAATTGGTTCGTCGTATAATGTGCGATATGCAAATCCATAAACAGAACGAAAGACGAACAAAAAAGTTAATACTTTAAATCTGGTAATTTAGATATTTCTAAGCTAGAATTATACAGATTCAAAATAAAATGAAGTAGTCTGTTTTACATTCATAGTTCACTTATTTGAATAAATAATTAATTAGATGAAGATAAGAAAAGAAATACTTGAACCCTTTACTACATATGTAAGACAACATTTGAGTCACCAAACTAGGTTTACGAATATTTTTTGGACGATTCGGTAAGAGCGGAGTCAAACATTTAACAGCCACTATTTGTGATAAATCGACAATAAAAGAGCACCGGTTAAGAGAAACCCGAATTAAAATAAGCCTAGTATCATTATAGTATATCGCTGTCAATATACAAAAAGCATAACCATAGCACTTCTGAGAAAAAAGTTAAGTAATCTTGTCTAAAGAGTACCATATCTTCAAATGAACATCTCATAGAAATTAACGCAGCGTTCTGTACTTACTTCAGATCATAAATTGACCCTTTCCTTGATCCAACATTTAAACGTTTCGACCGTTCCGTATGTGGAAGTTCTACAACGGATTGTCTCCAATGGGCGTCTCGTACAATGGCGGGTGCACTTGTTCTTACTCCATCTACCACACACCACGAAATCTTCGAAACGAAGATTAAAACAGATTGATAACACTGACCATGAAGTGGAATCATTTAACAGTCAAAGACTGTTCTTTAATGTCACATGATAGCATAAGCTACTGTTACATTTATTTTAAATATTTCATTATATAGACGGAAGCAACAATACAGATTGTAAATTTTAATATATCTGTCAAATCATTAGACTATGAGATACCATACAAACACCAAATCAATAAAAAAATGTTATAATTATTTAGAAGAAAAAGTTGAATCAACTGAAAACAAATAGATGTAGGATTACGTGTTTAGCAGACATCTCAGTTAATCTATTTCAGCCCTTTAGTCTAAAATACACTACACAAAACAGCTCTTTCTTGTATTCAAGCAATCATAAATAGTTTTTTTTAGGCTGTGATACAGTTAATATCAAATGAATCCTCAAGACATTAGGCAAAAGATAAAACGAATTATCAGCAGCTTAAATTATCATCTACTTATGTTTAATACGCCGGTCCTTCTTCATTGCTTTCTAAATTTTAGAACTGTATCGATAAGTGAAATTAGTGACATCTGTGACAAACTTTTTAATGTATTTTTATCCACTTAGATTAAACGTTTATTAATTTGCTGTGTTTTAGCATACTAATTCCTAAAACTAATATTAGTTCACTACTGTGAAAGAGACAGAATTCTTTACGATCAGCAGAATGATAGTTTGTACATCAATTAGAAAGTTCTTGTTATAATTCAATATGTAGGTTACTTATTGAAACATGTTGAAATTTATGAATAAATAAATATACAAATTAGTAATGGGGAATTTTATTGCATTCTAGTATTAATTATTGTATAACTGCCATCATTTATGAAAAAGTGATTCATTGGATTAGAAATCATCATATGCTTCATCTTAATTAGTTTATAATACATTATTATTACTGACAAATCTAACTTGAACATTTGAAAGTTACTTCATAAAATGGGATTATGGGTTTAGCTTTTGAAATCAAACTATTATAATTTATTAAAATTTGTCTGTGATACAAAACCTTCGAATCACTGAAATATGGTCGTAAAAGATAGACCTAATTAACGTGCGAATTTTATTTATGTAGCATTTAGCACCTTTGAGTATTTTACATTTTTGCGGCTACTTTGAAATATAGTTGATATTAACTAGTAAACAAGAATTTTATCTATAATCAGTACTTCTTAAAAATTGTTTTTCCTTATTTCAGCATATGTTCATTACGCTAGTGATCAAAATTTTTATGATATACTAGACTAGACTGATCAAAAATAAACAACCGAAAAGCAGTGACTCACTCTCCAATTAAAGTCGATTATCTCATTAATATCAATATCCTCATCATCTTCTCCCATTGGATTCACAAGTGTTTCAGCAACCTGCGTACGAAAGGTAAAACAATAGGTATTGGAATCGAAGCACAAACATTTTAACTTGGTTATTAGTTCAGAATAAAAGTTAATTATAATGTGATTCATTTAAACTGCTGTTAACACTGATATTCGATGAGATTATAAGCGATGCATTCAACGTACAATATACATGCTGAATACAACCATTTAGGGAGTTTTTAAGTTTATTTATTGGATTAGTGCTGTGTTCTATATGTCATTTTAAGCGGTGGAAGATGTCCTCGACTAACTGAGGTGAACTTGTAAACATAATACAAACCGCTGGTTAAACAACACAAATTTAATGAAAGTGAGGGTTTGTAATGAAATATTTAGTAAGAATTACGCTCTGGTAAACAGCACTTAATAAATGAACAGTAAAATGACAGAAAGTGCTTAGGACATCACACTTATCGAACAGTAAAAACATTGTGGTTAACCACAGGCTTGAAATTTCAATTATGTTTAAGATTTGTTTAATTTTTTTATCGTAGACAAACTAATGATTGCCAGTTGGACTATAGTACCTATTTTATCCGTGGAAAAACAGCAAAAGGTAAATTACAGTAGATTTGACACTTTTTATTACTTTTAACTCACTTTTAGCCATCCCACATAAACAAAAAGTTCCAGAAATGTGAAAAACGGGAAGAAAAGATCATGCGAACGTGCTATGCCTGCAAAAGGTGAACTGTTGATGATGAATTGACTACTTATAAGAGACGCGACAAAATAAGAGTACACAGATAGTGTGACAACCTAAATAATTATGGGAAAAAAATAGATCCAATCAACAAATCCTATATGTCTTGTGTAATATACTTGTGTACGATATCTTGTTAATTCAGACAAACACAAACTTCATCCATGAACTTTAGAAAAGACCTCTTAGTTTATTACAGGTAAAGTTGGCAGTAATTCCTCCACACGTGCAATTAACCGAAACTGATCGCCCCAGCTATTAATCAAAGAAATGAGGTTGTCTGACTAGACGAAGGATTCCAGAAAAATTAAAATAAACTGCAGAACGTCTGTTTCGCTGTGAATGTCACATGTGTTACAGGTCAGTTTTAACTTTCGTGACAGTCTTCAGTAAAATTTGATTTGTGGATGTAGTAAGTAGCTTAATGGTAGTATTAACAGAAAACTATATATAATAGAGGCAAAAAATATGCTTCGTCCTGATTGTCTGCATAAGAAGGAACTCTCACAACATTATCCACAAATGGTTTTAGATATATAGGTATTGAATGACGTTATAAAATTCTTTGTTTTGATTAAGAACACTGTTTGTTAACAGTAATGACGCTCAATTACAGTTTAATCTTACGGATGATATAAGCGCAACTGAAAAATAAGTTATTGGTTAAACCTTCGTCGGTAAATATTTTGAAAGAATTATTTCTGAATAAACGTGGTTATCTAGTTTTCTTTGCACAAGGTCAACTGATGGTTGTGAATATAAATTTTCTAGGCCTGAAAAAGGTGATGGGTTCATTTCGTTTATAGCCTAGCGAGAAAATGTTTAATTCGCTAGAAGCAAACTAACATTTGTGCACAGAAAACAAGTACTTCGATTTTCAACTATAGTAGGAAACTTTATCGATCGACTGAACAGACAAAGGAATAAAATGACACTATTACTAACCTGTGTATAAACCAACGGAATACAAACATCATCCATCATCATTATATATAATATTTTTTGACGGAAAGTGTTAAGTTCCTGTAAGAAAGTGGAAAATTAGGAATTTCAGCTATAGACAATACGAGAAAATAAAATGGAAAGAAACTACAATCAAAAGTCTATGAAACAAATTTTTTACCAAATATAAGGAATATCGTTCAGCTATAGTAGTTCCGTCGTCTTATTACTGTTTAAAATTGATCGTAGACCTGATGTTAAAAGTCACCGGATCGTCAAGTGAGATATTCATTGTCTATTAAATCGTACACATCAAAAGATAAAGCATTTGAATTCAGTCACACAAAGAAGACTATAATTGCAAAAATCCGTAACGAAGTGAAAATGAAATTTTAATTTATTATCTCAACTGCATGATTGTATCTTTGTCACAACATTAAGCTTTTTGCATAAGCTTAAATCAATACTGCATTGTTAAGACACCTAGTTTCTCAATATGATGAATAATCGTTTGTTAAAAAACATCAAACTACACACATTACACTATGGCAAAAAAGCACAGTTCTAATGCCAGCAGTCATTTGACAAACTATTTCAAAATATTTATTAGCGACAATAATCAATTGCATTTCTGACGTAGGCTAGCAAAACACATGCACTCACTATGACAATAATGCATTCAAGCACTCTAAAAACTTCTAAATTTTAATTACTTTTCCAATATGAAACTAATAACTAATTTATTGATTGATCAATAGCACATGAGTTTGAACGTTTCACTTCGGATTGAAGTTTTGTCAATAAATTGGTATCCCGCTTTACTGTTAATCACCAGTCGGCGTATATATTACATCCAGATGAATACATGCCATTAAGAAGTATTTCTGACATACACGATCTAAATAATGTAAGGTAAACAGTCAGCCACAAAGGTATATATTTGGTCTAATACTGAGGCTGCTTCAAGAATAGCTGAATTCAAAACTTAAGACTTCCTATGACAAAAAATCTGAGTATCTGAAATTTTTGTCATCTTATCACATGACTCAGAAATACTTATGAGTTATTTTTTTCAAACATTTATGTTTGTCATTTTTAATAAAATCCTTTCAAGCTGTCAATTCTGAAATCATTAGGGTTGCTGAAAAACAACTTACGTCTACCAAAAGAACGTATGCATGCGGATTTTTGATTAGTCCTTCTTTTCTAGCTAAAGTGATAAGAGAAGTCGCCCATACAACAGGAACAAATGGTTGCATATGAACAGATTGTACACTTCTAATAATTCTTGCTTCATCCTCGGTAAGTACGCCTGTCAAAATGAAAAGGTGAAATATCTTATATAGTTGCAAACTGATATGATGAATACATAATTTAATGATGCTTCTTTAGGTAAAAACTAGTTTCAATTTCCGAGAAAAATCAATCAAAAAGTCAAGTGGAGAGTATACAAAACTCTCGGAAGCCTATATCTGATGGTATTTTCCTAAACTTAAAGCATTTCCAAGCAGTTTGTGTAATTCCATGAGGTTACTATTCGTCATACATCTTAAATTCAAAGACAGTCATTGCAGCAGAATACTATGAATTCATTTATTCTGCGGCTTATTTTCATATGCTTACAACCTTGAAACAACAGTATTTATGTTTAAACAGATTTTTGAAAATTCCCACGATCATTGTCCTTTGATAATCCACATCTGCATCCCGAACCTAAAATTAATCAGGACTTTTTCGACACAAAATATTTATATTTGTTTCATTTCTATTCATTAGAAACTTAAGAATGGTACATAATAATCCCGTGTTAAACAGAGTGATACCACGCACAACCCACTATTAAGTTTCAGAACGCTGCCATTTAAATGAGTTGTGATCTAGATATACTATTTTACAACATTAAATATATTCATAATATTAAAAAAGTATCAAAGGTAAACTTTGAGTATGACTACAAGCAAAATGTTTCATTGCTAGATCACCACTAGTTGATCGAATATACCTTCATTTAGCAATAATTTGATGAGCTTATTTCAGTCAGTCATTTTAGAACACGATGAATTCCAAAGAAAATCTGATTTAATTTATAAAATCTGATAACGGTAGATTTTATTAAGTTTCCTGCCAAAATGTCAATAAAAGATAAGTTAAAAAATCTACTTACTAAAGTGAAGATAAGTAATTCTAGCCCAAATGTTACTTGTCGAATTAAAAACGCATATGTACTGCCTCATCCGTTCAGTTTAAGAAGTATATAACTGAATATCTTGAAACACGACCATTTTATGCTAGATGTCAACATTAATTTTGGTCATTGTATGAACTCTGCATGCGTACAAAACATTAAACGCAAATTTATGACCATGAAACTAATAACACACATCTCGTCGTAAACCACGTAGTTGAAGAGTATTATGAAATACTGAAAAGATATGTGTACTGACGAATAAATGGAAACGGAAAGGAGACAAGCACTTTTATGACCAACATCCAAAATCCGACCAACGCTAATTTTATACAATAGGAAACTTTTAAAAACTAATAAGCATACCTTGGGCTGAATTTCGGTAAACTACCTTTTAGATTTCTTTTAAATTAGTTACGCTTTACACACAAGTAAGCTAACGGATGAATATGAAGGGTTATATGACTATTTGATGTTCGTTTTTATCACGTACTGACATCAGGAAAATGTATTCCAAGAATAAACAACTCCTAGGTTCATTTACCAATTTCCATTCATCAGGCACGTTTACTTGTGAAGAGTAGCTTGACAAAAAGTTGTATTCCCTAGACGTTTTGTTAGCAGGAGCTACAAGAATTCGAGCTAAAAACCTTCATTTCTGCATTCAAAATAAATTTATAACACCTCTACCTTTAAAATGAAGAGTATTCTTTTGAATAAATTTTCTTTAAGTTCTACAGATATACATCCAAATCGATAATCCAAAAAGTGGCCAGCATAGTACATCGTTTAAAATTATAACATACGAATTTAGGGTTGTGAAATAAAATAAAATTGTTCATGTTGATATGAATAATATGCAATGTTAATTTAAATAGGTTTATACTTTAGATGAAATGGTGCTAAGTAGATTGATCATGTGTTCAATAGATTAATAGTGATAGTAAACCAATAATAACAACAGTAATAGTAAGAAGAGAATTATATTATTATATTATACCGTTATATTGTATTATATTTCATCTCAATTTCAGCATTTCATCTTATCATGCTGAGCCTTCCTTTCTCAATTATAATTTCCCTATCTATGTTCTTGATGAATATTCAAGCCCTCAACAATAAAACTATTTTCGGTTTCATAAGCAAAGATGGATGGTGGCTACCAGTGGAATCCAGGACGCGCGTTTCGTCCTGTTCGGAACTCACCAGCTGTATGTACCTGTAATATCGAGGCAGCCCGCACAGGATGCACATATGCCAACAAGAGACTGATCGATTGCAATTCTAAACAACAATGGGAAGATACAAGCAAACAATCCCAAGTGTATTTTCAGTTTCCCTGATAACAATAGCGTTTCAGTCCATTCTTTATTCTACCTCAGCTACCATGTTTAACAGAATTTTAATATCGCTACTATTGTAATTATTATAAACTTGAAAAATCAGTATTTACTTGCGATTATACAGCTATGAAAATAAATTCACTGAAATGAGAACTCTTAGCTGAACCAATCTTTCTTACAATTATATTTGACTAAGAAAGGTTGTCCTTTAAAAACAAAGACGATAGCCATTCTGATTAAGAAGCCACAACTAAGTGTGAATAAAAGTATCTTTAACCGTTTTTCTTACTTTGGCGAACCTCATGGGCAATTAATCGATAGAAATCTGAACTATTAAGTGACCTGGTTTGACTAAAGTACATACAACCCTTCTTAGTCAAATATAATTATCTTTGTAATATAGATGATAATAATTTTAAGTGTTTGGTTCTTAAACCTTTGACCAACTTTCTGTGTATTTTGTCTCTTTACCAGGTTGTTTATTTTTCTTAGATTTACTTCTGTATTCACCCTCTTACTACCAATTCTTACTTTATTCATTACGACTAATCATGTAGTCTATTTTTATTGCTATTCCTAAGTAATAAATTCTCTTGAATAATCTGACAGTTTTCATATATGCAAACAACTACCACCATTAAGTGTTTGTTTATGTGCTTTTCTTAAGTTAATTTTACTGAATAATGTATATTGAGTTTAAGCTCAAAAATCTGCCTAAACAAAGATATATTTGTGATATTCCAATGAGTAGAAATTCAGACTTCTGTTTTTTAACTGTATGTAAGCCACTTCTTCAGAGCAAACAAATAAGTAATTAACTAATTTAAAAAAGTTTAAATAGTATATAGGAACAAGGGAGAACATTTAGTTCAATCAAAAATAAAATACGATAGTCTTTCTAGTCATGATAAATGTGTCATTACATATCTGAGCCAGATGTATGACCTGATGGTACTGACAAAAATCAGTGACTCAATATGAAACATGAGTAAATTAGCAAACATTGGAGATGTTAGAAATCTCATGGCCACTTCATTTCTTTATTTGCATAACGTCTCTTCAGAGGTAGAAATCGTTGAATCTAAGCATGGTTTGAGGGACTTCATGATTAATCTTGTGTATAACGAGATCTGATGCATAGAGTATTGTCATTCTCTGGTAAGCCATCCATAAACTCTAAGTCTCTATCGATTAGAATACTAGTTATATATATATATATATATATATATATATATATATATATAGCATCATAGCCTAGCATTGTTTCGATCTACTTTGACAGATAATTTCGAGATCTTTTATTTGGAAGGCCACCTCTAATTTCTTTCGACAAGTTAAAAGGATTATTAATAAATTATTTTCCCGTGACATTGCATAAAGCACGTGAAAAGGAGCAGTTCAACAAATTATTTCGTGCTCCGAATCAAAATACCAGAAATTTTATACTACAGCTTTAGATGTAGTGGACATCTGAATATTCATCTTAGAGACCAGTTGACTCCCAGTTTAACTGATTGTAAGCTGAAGCGACGGCTTACACCCTCGGATACTTGAAGATCCATGACTCACATATTCACACGTTAGTATTTATAATAACGATGCTGTTGCGACACAGTATGATGTACCATTATTGAATGTGAACAAACACACTACACTAATAAACTCCAGATTTCCTCGGACAGAATCCGCTCTAATTTATTCAGCTAAATTAATAATTCTAAAATTACTTCATATTCGCATATGGGTATCGAAATCTACATTTCATGTGATAAATTGTATCTTCGTACTTCGTGAAAGCTTCATCATGCATGTCGCCATGAATGTGGAAGAGTAGGACATATTGGGGAAAATTTTAAAATCTCCAAGTCGCTTCTAAAATAGTGGGTAATCATTTAGTGGAATCAGCTGATCTAAACATAGAAATAGACTTTTTATCACTTACTACCAACTGTGTCAGTACCTTACACATGACCAGTACAGGCAAATCCCAATCATTTAACGTCGATAATGATAACATAGAGTCAATCATCAATTTAAGTAATGAGATTGAAGATATACTATAATAATTACGAAGGTCAAAGTGTCTTCATAAGATAGACCTAAAATATGTATATTTACAAACTTCACTGGATGGAATTGTAGTGTGCTGCCGATGCCGACAGATATAAGTAGTATGTATCATCAATCAAAAGTGAAATGTCTGGCAGCACAAATTAAGATCAAAGAAAGAGAACGAGAACAAAGAATGATTGATGTGGAATCGAAAGAACTGTGAAGCCTGAGACAATTTATTGATATTTTGCAAATTAATTATTTACTATATGGTTCTCAGATTTTAATAAAATGTTCTGTAATTTTGTGTTCAAATACATTCGATTGTCTCCACTTGTGTTCTCGTTCACCACAAAACCTCTAGCGAACTGACTTGTTATTTCACAAATTAGGCTATACTGAAACAAATTCCAGCCGTTCGGATTAAGCGTTTCCCGTGCGATATTCCAGGAGGTTGTAACTAAAAATATTACCGATCTTGATGGTGTTCAATCGTATCAAGATGATTTCCTAATTTATGCTGCAAATATTGAGTTGCGTAATGAACATCCTTTAAAGTTAGACGGACGCTTTTATGATACAAATATTGTGACAAACTTATCCAAGTCCCATTTCAACTTAATTCTATCAACTCCCCAGGTTATATTAAATTTCAAGGAGTTTCAATCTGATATGAGTTGGAATACGTTTTAGAAAATGAGAGAAGATACATCACTACATACTGGAGTTCATTTTGTTCTTTGATGACAGAATAATTATCTTCATTGCTTAAATTTATAGTGCTAGATGGTCTTCACTATGGTCATCTGAGAGTGAAACAATTGGAATAACATGCTCGTTAGATATGATGCCATGTGATTTATGCTGATGTAAGTCGAATACCGAAAAATTATCCTGCTTGTTTGCACAGGGTTTCATATGATGAAATTACTTGAAATCCTTGGCCAGCACCTTACGGATTGTGTCAACGTATTAACGCCGATTAATGAATTCCATTGTATACTAGTATTATGCTTTATTTGCTACATATTCATAACTCAGACGGTTAGGAGTGGTACTCAATAATAGTCCATGAAGGAAATTTGCTGAGTGATTAGAGAGAAAGGTATTTTGTGGCTATAGGGTTCTCAATATAATAAATAAACCCATTTCCCACATAAACATTTAACGCACAGCCTAAAGATAGTGGATACTGTCGTTTATTTACAAATCTACGCCATCCCTAGCTTAAAGGTTCAACTGTGAACATTTTTTAAACCTTGATAAATGCTATCATATCTGTAAATTGAAGTTGTTCAAAAATAAAAACCCATCAGCAGCGTTTCACTACAATATAATAACGTAGAGCATTTACAAGCTCGCTAAGACCCAGGTAAAGTTTTCAAAACTTATATACTTCGAACTCGTTCACTGGGCACAACATAAATAAAATTACATTTTTACCGAGGAAATAAGCATTGACCAACTTCAGGAATTCTAATTCAGAAATCAGTAGCCGGATGATAACAAATCATTACACTCAGTGACTTGAAAGTGGTTAAAGATAAATCCGTACGGTTAGACGTTCTGATGACTTGGTTGTATTAGTATGCAATAGTAGCAGAAGTATGGTTTGGAAGTTATCATGTAGCTTAAAAGCTATATTCTTTTGCAGTTAAGAATCATTAATTGGTACTTCGCTGTAATATGTCCCATTACCCGCCTAATACTAAGCCCTCCAAAATTAATATACGGTTGTCTGATTTCAGGATTTGTCTGTCATCTGTAGTATGTGAATACAAGACGAAAATATGTCCCTTAATTACTTCAGTCATATTTTGTCATCTTCTTAAATGCAAACTTAGTGTTTTTTATCCTTCAAGTAAAGTTTAGTATACTGACCGAAAAGTGCAATCAAACCAGTGTCTGGACATCCAACTTCTGTACACTGTCACGAAACCAAAACTACCTCAGAAGCATTGTCTTAGATGAAAATAAAAACTAGCAACATTGAAAACTAATATGTTGGTCAACATTAGTTGACTACAGCCTTTATCACAACATACAGCAAACAAAATAAGTTACCTGAAGCAACGAAAAGCTCAAAAGTTGGAAAACGTTTCTTGACGACGACATTAAGATGGGCAGCTGCAATTATAAGATTTGCCATTATATATCTCATGCATGTCCGACGTATCAGACGATTGCGTTCTGCGCTACCAGGAAGGTGGGTAACAAGAGTAAGTGCGAAACTCATCACCCACGGAATCGTCGTGAAATAGTTCCAAAAGCGTGCAAAAACTAAGGCAACATAAAAACCAAGGATAAATGCAACCGGAATCATAGCTTGGAACCTGGAAGTAAATAGGATCAGACGTTCAAAATTTCTAAGATGTCAGTTATCTATCAATAAAAATTGCTCACCTTTGTGCGTTCTCAGAAATTGCAAACCGATACAAACAGCTTATTAATGTATAAATAGAAGCAAATATGATGAGGTCAAGTGAAATCAGCTTCAATACACCTCCCCTCCATCTGAAGATGTTAATTACGGAAAGTTTAGTACTTTAAGAGAAGACGGAAGAATATTCCAGGACCCCCAGTAAGGACAAACTGATTATATTGGACAGTCATCAATGATATTTCCTACAGGTTTTCGTCAAATACCACTGTTGATTTAATACAATGAGAAATCTACAATAAAAACGTAATTGGTTACGACGACTAACATTTAAGGTTAACTGAACAACGGTTCTTGTGAACAGCTGAGATAACAAACAAAGACAATTTCATCAACAAATGGTTAGAAAAATCAGAATTCCATCTACATTATTATTTAAACGACAAAAAATGAGCTGACGTACCCAGTTGGCATTCGTTTTCAACAAAAATAGGAAAATCGAGGCAAAAATGACTATGTGTGCAATCTATCACATCGAACGAAGGAAACCGAAAACAAATCGTCGATAGCAAAACGTAACGAAAAATCGCTGGAGAAAACGAAACCAAAACGAACAGTAAAAACACAAAATGTAAGCAGAATCACATTCGAGCACAAATCAATCAGCCTGAACAAAACTCGCCATACAAAACGTACAGAACACTATACATCTAATAAAACACCAAAGAGAGTGACTACATGTGGTCTGACACTTCACTGACCAACACCTCTAGATAAGTGATTGTCACTTGATGTCTCCTCCATGCAACATGTCTTGAAAGACGATTCAGACTGATTCTCGAATCACTCATCCAGTATATCGCTCCTAATTTATTATCTAATTATTTTCGTGCTTACACATATTCTTTCCATTCTACTTGATAATTTAATTTAATAACAACAGCTCCTCCAACCATTTGTCTTTCCTTTCCGATCTGTTCACACCAGTGAATTATCGTAATTAATTTTCCGATGACAATTCTGATACAAACAACAGATAAGAGAAGTTAATCTCCGAATTCTCACGGTTTATTAAAACACACTGTATTGAGCGAACACTGACACCACTTCCAAACGTACATTTCAGTGTTCTGGTGAATCGATCCTGTGGTAGGCGGCAAATAATCATATCCTAGTCAAACTTGTATCACAAACTCATCGTAAAGGGTTCTGTGTGCACAAGTTGGATTATTTATGTGAGAACAGTGTCCTCGCACCTGACATACGAATAACACCTGAGACAATATTACCTTTAATCAATCACTCAGACTTGTGAATTCGGTTAACTATATTTCAGTAACTATCGGTTCCTCACAGTCATACGTGTGTATACTGGTAATCAACCGGTGCTTGCACTATGCATACATACACTTGTTGTCTAATCGATTATCACTTATCTGTAAATTAGTGGGGGGAGGAGATTTGGCACGTCACCGGATGCGACTTATTCTCACTTCGTCCTACTTAAAGCATTTCGCTTTTCTTCAATCACAACAAGTTCTCATCAAGCAACATCTCAGATGCTCCTCAACAAGATTGTTCATTTGATAGACGTCCTGTGAATGAATAAACACTGAATTGGTGTAATCAACTGGTCAAATTATACTACATCATGTAATCTACTTGGTGACGCATTTCACAAACTTGGTCAATAAAATCAACACTACAGTTCTGAGGAGAACACTTGTTCACAACGTGAGAATAATCCAATCAAGTCAGTTCATTTGATCACCTACTAGCCATAATCCTGTCTAAATCTTGAATTGTGAACCTATTTATTCTACTATTTGTCTTAACTCCAATACACTTTCTCCTGGATTTGTGCTATTAAATATATAGTCACATCGATTATCCCTTGTTATAATTTGGTAAAATGTGATCAGTCGAACCGAAGCACTACACACTTTGCAACTTTCTCATCCAACTGTCATTAGCATGAATAAGGAGGTTGGTTGGATCGAGGAAACTTGGATGTCTACAAATATAAGTGAGAATACTACCAACCGATTGGTACAACGGATAGAATGAGAAATATAATCGCTTTCCACCTTACAATTCCACACACTACATCGTCACTTAGCAGTAATCAGCTAGCCACAATCGACAGACCGAATTAGTCAGATGCTGTCAATATCCACAGGAAACCTGTCTCCATCAACCACAGCTCGGAACCAACCATAGGATATATTGAGAATAGTGTCAATCCACTACAACACCAGACAGAGTGACTAGATGTGGTCTGACACTTCACTGACCAACACCTCTAGATAAGTGATTGTCACTTGATGTCTCCTCCATGCAACATGTCTTGAAAGACGATTCAGACTGATTCTCGAATCACTCATCCAGTATATCGCTCCTAATTTATTATCTAATTATTTTCGTGCTTACACATATTCTTTCCATTCTACTTGATAATTTAATTTAATAACAACAGCTCCTCCAACCATTTGTCTTTCCTTTCCGATCTGTTCACACCAGTGAATTATCGTAATTAATTTTCCGATGACAATTCTGATACAAACAACAGATAAGAGAAGTTAATCTCCGAATTCTCACGGTTTATTAAAACACACTGTATTGAGCGAACACTGACACCACTTCCAAACGTACATTTCAGTGTTCTGGTGAATCGATCCTGTGGTAGGCGGCAAATAATCATATCCTAGTCAAACTTGTATCACAAACTCATCGTAAAGGGTTCTGTGTGCACAAGTTGGATTATTTATGTGAGAACAGTGTCCTCGCACCTGACATACGAATAACACCTGAGACAATATTACCTTTAATCAATCACTCAGACTTGTGAATTCGGTTAACTATATTTCAGTAACTATCGGTTCCTCACAGTCATACGTGTGTATACTGGTAATCAACCGGTGCTTGCACTATGCATACATACACTTGTTGTCTAATCGATTATCACTTATCTGTAAATTAGTGGGGGGAGGAGATTTGGCACGTCACCGGATGCGACTTATTCTCACTTCGTCCTACTTAAAGCATTTCGCTTTTCTTCAATCACAACAAGTTCTCATCAAGCAACATCTCAGATGCTCCTCAACAAGATTGTTCATTTGATAGACGTCCTGTGAATGAATAAACACTGAATTGGTGTAATCAACTGGTCAAATTATACTACATCATGTAATCTACTTGGTGACGCATTTCACAAACTTGGTCAATAAAATCAACACTACAGTTCTGAGGAGAACACTTGTTCACAACGTGAGAATAATCCAATCAAGTCAGTTCATTTGATCACCTACTAGCTATAATCCTGTCTAAATCTTGAATTGTGAACCTATTCATTCTACTATTTGTCTTAACTCCAATACACTTTCTCCTGGATTTGTGCTATTAAATATATAGTCACATCGATTATCCCTTGTTATAATTTGGTAAAATGTGATCAGTCGAACCGAAGCACTACACACTTTGCAACTTTCTCATCCAACTGTCATTAGCATGAATAAGGAGGTTGGTTGGATCGAGGAAACTTGGATGTCTACAAATATAAGTGAGAATACTACCAACCGATTGGTACAACGGATAGAATGAGAAATATAATCGCTTTCCACCTTGCAATTCCACACACTACATCGTCACTTAGCAGTAATCAGCTAGCCACAATCGACAGACCGAATTAGTCAGATGCTGTCAATATCCACAGGAAACCTGTCTCCATCAACCACAGCTCGGAACCAACCATAGGATATATTGAGAATAGTGTCAATCCACTACAACACCAGACAGAGTGACTAGATGTGGTCTGACACTTCACTGACCAACACCTCTAGATAAGTGATTGTCACTTGATGTCTCCTCCATGCAGCATGTCTTGAAAGACGATTCAGACTGATTCTCGAATCACTCATCCAGTATATCGCTCCTAATTTATTATCTAATTATTTTCGTGCTTACACATATTCTTTCCATTCTACTTGATAATTTAATTTAATAACAACAGCTCCTCCAACCATTTGTCTTTCCTTTCCGATCTGTTCACACCAGTGAATTATCGTAATTAATTTTCCGATGACAATTCTGATACAAACAACAGATAAGAGAAGTTAATCTCCGAATTCTCACGGTTTATTAAAACACACTGTATTGAGCGAACACTGACACCACTTCCAAACGTACATTTCAGTGTTCTGGTGAATCGATCCTGTGGTAGGCGGCAAATAATCATATCCTAGTCAAACTTGTATCACAAACTCATCGTAAAGGGTTCTGTGTGCACAAGTTGGATTATTTATGTGAGAACAGTGTCCTCGCACCTGACATACGAATAACACCTGAGACAATATTACCTTTAATCAATCACTCAGACTTGTGAATTCGGTTAACTATATTTCAGTAACTATCGGTTCCTCACAGTCATACGTGTGTATACTGGTAATCAACCGGTGCTTGCACTATGCATACATACACTTGTTGTCTAATCGATTATCACTTATCTGTAAATTAGTGGGGGGAGGAGATTTGGCACGTCACCGGATGCGACTTATTCTCACTTCGTCCTACTTAAAGCATTTCGCTTTTCTTCAATCACAACAAGTTCTCATCAAGCAACATCTCAGATGCTCCTCAACAAGATTGTTCATTTGATAGACGTCCTGTGAATGAATAAACACTGAATTGGTGTAATCAACTGGTCAAATTATACTACATCATGTAATCTACTTGGTGACGCATTTCACAAACTTGGTCAATAAAATCAACACTACAGTTCTGAGGAGAACACTTGTTCACAACGTGAGAATAATCCAATCAAGTCAGTTCATTTGATCACCTACTAGCCATAATCCTGTCTAAATCTTGAATTGTGAACCTATTCATTCTACTATTTGTCTTAACTCCAATACACTTTCTCCTGGATTTGTGCTATTAAATATATAGTCACATCGATTATCCCTTGTTATAATTTGGTAAAATGTGATCAGTCGAACCGAAGCACTACACACTTTGCAACTTTCTCATCCAACTGTCATTAGCATGAATAAGGAGGTTGGTTGGATCGAGGAAACTTGGATGTCTACAAATATAAGTGAGAATACTACCAACCGATTGGTACAACGGATAGAATGAGAAATATAATCGCTTTCCACCTTGCAATTCCACACACTACATCGTCACTTAGCAGTAATCAGCTAGCCACAATCGACAGACCGAATTAGTCAGATGCTGTCAATATCCACAGGAAACCTGTCTCCATCAACCACAGCTCGGAACCAACCATAGGATATATTGAGAATAGTGTCAATCCACTACAACACCAGACAGAGTGACTAGATGTGGTCTGACACTTCACTGACCAACACCTCTAGATAAGTGATTGTCACTTGATGTCTCCTCCATGCAGCATGTCTTGAAAGACGATTCAGACTGATTCTCGAATCACTCATCCAGTATATCGCTCCTAATTTATTATCTAATTATTTTCGTGCTTACACATATTCTTTCCATTCTACTTGATAATTTAATTTAATAACAACAGCTCCTCCAACCATTTGTCTTTCCTTTCCGATCTGTTCACACCAGTGAATTATCGTAATTAATTTTCCGATGACAATTCTGATACAAACAACAGATAAGAGAAGTTAATCTCCGAATTCTCACGGTTTATTAAAACACACTGTATTGAGCGAACACTGACACCACTTCCAAACGTACATTTCAGTGTTCTGGTGAATCGATCCTGTGGTAGGCGGCAAATAATCATATCCTAGTCAAACTTGTATCACAAACTCATCGTAAAGGGTTCTGTGTGCACAAGTTGGATTATTTATGTGAGAACAGTGTCCTCGCACCTGACATACGAATAACACC